AATAAAATTTATCTTTGTATTGTTGGAAGATTTTATGTTATTTACTGACTTAGATGGGAATTTTAAGTATGTACTTCACTTTTCATTTCCTTTTACTTACTTTCTTAAATTTTATTATAGTCATTAAATACAAGATCTAAAAACTTTTCTTGCAGTAATAAAGTTTTCTTTTCATTTTATTTTATATTCATTCATTTATTTATTTATTATTTTTATTTAGAGATATTTATGAGGTACAGACTTGACTATCAGTATTTGTATACAGTACGTGATGATCAAATCATTATTGGTGTGTTCATCATTACAAATAGAAATTACTCTTTGCTCCCTTACCCAATTATGCCCTATCCCCCTTCCCCCTCCCCGTTTCCTGCCTCTAGTAACTATAGGTATCTGTTCTCTCCTTCTGAAAGTTCAATGTTTTATTATGGTCTTTCTTTCTATGTTTGTCTCTTAGCTGCCACTAAGGAGTGAGGACATGCAGTATTTCTCTTTCTGTGCCTGGCTTATTTCACTTAACATAATTTTCTCCAGGCTTATCCATGTTGCTGCAAATGGCAGAATTTCATTCTTTTTTTATGGCTGAGTGCTCTCCTATTGAGTATATATATATCACATTTTCCTTATGCAGTCTTCCATTGATGGACATTTAGGTTGGTTCCAACTCTTGGCTATTGTAAATAGTTAACATGGGAGTGCAGGTACCCCTTGGACTTGATGATTTCCATTCCTCTGGGTATATACCTGGAAGTGGGTTTGCTGGATAGTATGGTAGTTCTATCTGTAGTTGTTTCAGAAACTTCCATACTGTTTTTCATAATATCTGTACTAATTTACAGTCCCACCAACAGTGTAGAAGAGTTCCCTTTTCTCCACATCCTGCCAGCATTTGCTGTTCTCAGTCTCTTTGATAATACCCAGTCTAGCTGGGGTGAGATGATATTCAATGTGGTTTTGATTTGCATTTCCTTGATGATTGGTGATGTTGAGAATTTTATCATATACCTGTTGACCATTTGTTGTCTTCCTTTGAAAAATGTCTATTCAGCTCCTTTGCCCATTTTTTAATTGGATTTTTTTTTTTTTTTGCTTTTAAGTTGCTTGAGTTCTTTGTATATTCCAGATATTAATCCCTCATTGGATGTACAGTTTGCAGATATTTTCTCCTATTCATTAGGCTGTCTTTTCTTTCTATTTATTGCTTCCTTTGCTGTGCAGAAGCTTTTTAGTTTGATATAATCCCATCTGTTTATTTTTTCTTTTGTTTCCTGCACTTTTGGAGTCTTATTCATAAAGCCTTTGCCCAGTCCTACATACTGAAGTGTTTCCCCTATGTTTTCTTCTAGGAGTTTTGTAGTTTCAAGTCTTATACTTAAGCCTTTAATTCATTTTGAGTTGCTTTTGGAATATGGTGAGAGGTATGGGTTTAGTTTTATTCTTTTACACATGTATATCCAGTTTTCCCAGCACTGTTTACTGAAGAGGCAGTCTTTTCCCCCAGGTATGATTCTGGTGCTTTTTTCAAAGATCAGTTGGGTATAAGTACCTGGGTTAATTTCTGAGTTCTCTATTCTGTTCCATGGGTCTGACTGTCTGTTTATACGTCAGTACCATCCTGTTTTGGTTACTATAGCTTTGTAGTATAATTTGAACTCAAGTGACATTATGCCTCTGGTTTTATTTTTTTTTTCCCCAGGATTGCAAATGTCTGAATGTTAAGATTGTCTTTTTCTGTTTCTGTGTAGAATGCCATTGGTATTTTGATGGGAATTGCATTGAATCTGTAGATTGCTTTGGGTACTATGGACATTTTCAAGTTAATTCTTCTAGTCCATGAACAAAGAATGTCTTTCCATCTTTTGGTGTCCTTTTTCATTTCTTTCAGCGGAACTTTGTAGTTCTCACTTTGGAGATCTTCCATTTCTTTGATTAAATTTATTCCTACATATTTTATTCTTTTGATAGTTATGTAAATAGGCTTGCTTTCTTGATTTTTTTTTCTCCTTGTTCATTGTTGGTCTATAAGAATGGTACTGATTTTTGCATATTGATTTTGTGTCCTGCTACTTTACTGAATTCATTTATCAGCTCTAGGAGTTTTTTCTTTTTTTTTTTTTTCCTTTTTGTCTTTTTACTGACCGGTGATGAGATCGCAACCCTCGGTGTCGGGCCCGTACCGGGGACAGGCAACGGGATCGCAACCCTCGGTGTCACACCCGCACTGCACTCAGCCAGTGAGTGGGAACCGGTCCCCACATGGGATCCGAACTCTTGGCGGGAGCGCCGCCACGCTCCCAAGTGGTGCACTCTCCAGTGCACCACCAGCCCGGCCCTAGGAGTTTTTTCTTAAAGGTTATGGGCTTTTCTATATATAGGATTGTGTCATCTGCAAGCAGTGACAATTTGACTTTGTCTTTTCCAGTTTGGAAGCCCTTTATTTCTTTCTCTTTTCTGATTGCTCTGGTGAATATTTCCAATACTATGTTGAATAGAAGAGGTGAGAGTGGGCATTTTTGTTTCGTTTCTGTTCTTAAAGAAAAAGCTTTCAGTTATCCCCCTTTCAGGATGATGCTGGCAGTGGGTTTGTTATATACAGATTTATTGTGTTGAGATACTTTCTTTGTATACCTAAGCTGTTTATCAAGAAGGGGTGCTGAATTTTGTTAAATGCTCTTCTTGTGTCTATTGAGATAGTCATATGGTTTTCATCCTTGTTTTTCTTTATGTGGTATATCACATTTATTGATTTGCATATGTTGAACCATCCTTTCATCCCTGGGATGAATCCCACTTGATCATGGTATATAATCTTTTTGATGTGCTGTTGTATTCTGATTGCTAACATCTTGTTGAGAGTTTCTGCATCTGTGTTCTTCAAGGATATTGGCCTGTAGTTTTCTTTTTTTGTCGTGTCTTTGACTGATTTTGGTATCAGGGTGATGCTGTCCTCATAGAATGAATTTGGAGAAATGGCCTCTGTTTCAATTTTTTGCAATGGTTTGAGAAGGATTGGTGTTAATTCTTTTTCAATGGTTTGGTAGAATTCAACAGCGAAGCTGTCTAGTCCTGGGCTTTTCTTTGTTGGGAAACTGCTCATTACTGTGTCAATCTCAGTGTTTGTTATAGGTCTGTTCCAGTTTTGTATTTCTTCTTGGTTCAGTCTTGGTAGTTTGTATGTGTCCAGAAATTTATCCATTTCCTCCAGGTATTCAAATATGTTGGCATGTAGCTGCTCATAATAGTCTCTAATGATCCTTTGTGTTTCTGTGGTATCAGTTGCAATGTCTCCTTTTTCATTTCTGATGTTTGTTATTTAGGTCTTCTCTGTTCTTCTTTTAGTTAGTCGGACCAATGGCTTATCTATTTTGTTTATTCTCTCAAAAAACCAACTTTTTGTTTCGTTAATTTTTTGTATCATTCTTTTGATCTCTATTTCACTTAGTTCTGCTCTGATCTCAATTATTTCTTTCTGTCTACTGGTTTTGGGATTAGATTGTTCTTGTTTTTCTAGTTCTTTGAGATTTAACATTACATTGTTTATTTGAAGTCTTTCCATACTTTTGATGTAAGCTCTTTTTGCAATAAACTTCCCTCTTAGTACTGCTTTTCCAGTATCGCATATATTTTGGCAAGTTGTACTTGTATTTTCATTTGTTTCAAGGAACTTTTTTATTTCCTGTTTTATTTCTTCTTTGATCCACTGGTCATTCAGGAGCATGTTGTTCAATTTCCATGATTTTGTATAGTTTCCATAGTTTTGTTTATTGTTAACTTCTAATTTTATTCCATTGTGGTCTGAAAATATACTTGATATAATTTGTATCTTTTTAAATTTATTGAGACCTACTTTGTGACCTAATATGTGGTCTATCCTGGAGAATGATCAAATTTTTAAAAAAAATCTATATTTTCTCTGCCTTTTGAGGTAATCTACCTCTTTTATAGTCCAGCATTTTAGGGTTCCTAGTAATGACAGCACAAACTGAAGCCTGTAAATAAATAGCATGAGTGAATCCCTTCTAGAGCTCTTCACTGCTTGTCTGGATGCTGTCAGAATCTCTCAGCTTGCACTGTAGGTAGAATTGACCTATGTTGATTGAGAGTGAGGTCTCTAGAGTTAAAGCCTTTGTTCTGCCATCATTAACTGTGTTTGGCAAGTCATTTTACCTTTGTGTGACTCATTTTCCTCATCTGTAAATGGGGAGAATATAGGATCTATACCAAAGGTTTATTGTGAGGATTAAACTAATTAATTCTCATAAAACACTTAGAACTACCAGGAACATAGGAAGCCATTGTTACATGTTAGCAGGTATTGTTTTCTCTCCCATTATCTTATTTTCAGACTACCCCCAGTCTCTCTTTGTTTTAGTCATAATGAAAAATATGAAATTCTCTGAAATTTCCATGATGCTTTTTATCTACTTGTCTTTGGGTTTTGTTGCTATTGGGATTTTTGTTTGTTTTTCTGACGGTTGTCTTGGGACTTTTTAGATTTCAATTATAGGAGGTCGATAAAAGGTTGAGTTAATCATACTCATGAGTTTGTGGCACACAAAATGATTGGTTCAAACAAAGCCCTTATCTTGTTTTGGTTATTTAATTTCATTAATTTCCAACTCCCATTTCATATCCAACCTTTATTTCTATTTCCCATTGTCAAAGGTAAGCTTTTTATTATATTTGATGGTAATCCTTTAGTTCCTATATATTTTTGAAAAAATGTGCATTGCATGTAAATTAATATAAATGATATTATGATGAAACTCTCAACCATTTCTTTTTCTTTCTTTCTTTCTTTTTGAATTTGCACTATGTTTTTAAGATCTCTTCACATTGACGAATAGACACCAGTCCATTGCTCCTGATTCCTGCAAAGTACTCTTTGAATTGTATACATCAAAATTTGTTTTACAATCCCATGCCACAATAATCTACATTAGGAAGAGCATACTTGTACAGGTCCCTTCATGAACCCATGTGAGAATTTCCTACCCAGAAGAAATTACATACCCAGAAGAAAAAGTAATTGATGGTAGGATATAGCTAAATAGTAATGAATTATTCATGAGTCACCAAAACAACTGGGTAAGTCTATATCCCCACCAGTAGTGCATGAAGTTCCTCCCTTTCAATTAGACAACTTAACAATGCCAATTGTTGTGGGGACAACCATACTTGACACTTTTAAACCCTCTGATTTTTGCCAGACCAGTGAGAAGATAAATGATATCTCATAATTGCTTTAACTTGTATCTTTCCGTTCTGAGTTTGAGCATCTCTTTATATCTATCTATCTACCTGTCCCTCTCTACATATATATATATACTTAGTCTTTTGTCTTCCTTCTTCTCTAGGAATGCCATTTAATACAGCTGTTATAATGTGTTTTTTTATGTTTGTTTGATTGCACAATGTTTTCTATTTCAGATCTTCACATTTACTTCCTTTATTTGTTCTTTTTTAAAAAATAAACAGGTCAAAATGAGCAAGAGACACATAAGCATGGGTCAGCAAACATGGGCTCTTCTCTGCAAGAACTGCCTTAAAAAATGGAGGATGAAAAGACAGACTTTCTTGGTATGGTTCAGAGTCTATGTGTTCTCACGTTTAGAAGAGAAAAAAGTATTTTCTTACACAGTCCAAATACTTTAATTTTATTATTTGATGTTTCATACATATTCTAATTAGCAGACAATTTTTCTTTCAAATTCTGAGCTTTGCTACTTTTTACAAATAGAATTTATTTTTCCACTCAATTTTAAAATATATCATTATTATATGCCTTATTGGAGGCATTTTTAAAAGAATTCATATTCAGAAACTTCCAGAAAAATAAAGCCACATTCTTTTATGGCAGAGATAACAAGCCCTAACATGTGAACTCATAGGAATCTCATGAAAGGCACAGGTACAGAACGTCAGGGTGAAAATCAAAGAAAGAGGCAGAGTTTAATCCAGAACTAATTCAGAAAGTAATCTAAAATTTAAAAACAACCAAAAGACAAATTGTAGCACTTCTACACAATTGCACCATAGACACAGACAATCTCAATTTGAAAGAAATTATGGGCATATAAACAAACAAGAAAAGAAAGTGGCATTTTGAACTATTACTTCTATTAAAATAGGACTTATTTTCTTTCGATCATAAGAATGATTAGATGTGTACTTTGTTTAGAAAATGTAGTAAATTCAGAAAAATATAGTAAGTTAAAATCACTCATAAAATACCTGTAGTTCAAGAGCTGTGTGTTAACATCTGATCCTATGAACACTGTGTGTGTGTATGTGTGTGTGCATATGTGTCTGTATTTTCATTCAACAAATATGCATTGAATGCTTGGATTGGCAGTGAACAAAGTATACAAAAATCTTTCCATGGAGCAAGGATTATATAAATATGAATATTAAATTCGAGATCCTACTCTACATAGATGTTTTACTTCTAACCTTTTAACTCTGTTTTATATAAACATCATATTTTGTTTATGTATACATGTAAATATAGGTATGGATATAGATCAACACACATAGCTACAAGATTTTTATATGATGAATCTGATATATACAGGACCTCTTTTAAAGGTTTTTATTTAGAATTATGACTAGATAATAAAGTGAATTCTTATCACTGGGCTTCATATACATTCTACTGCATTTCCAATTCTGGAAAGTGGTCACAAATGACAGACTTTAAAAATTATTATTATTTTTGTTTTTTCATTTTTTAATTGCAAGCAAAGTGAAATGTATCGACATAAATTGTTATTATTTTTTATGAGCAATATTTTGGAGCTATCTTCTTCTACATCTAGGCAGCAGAAGATAAAATTACGACCTTGCTTGTGTTGATGGAAGCTGGTTATTTATTACATGCCACCTACCATCTTTATCATTGGCTCTCAGATTTCAACATGACTGTAAACCACTGGGTCCTTTATGAAGCAATCCAGCTTTTATCGTTTGCACTAAAGTATGATGGACTTAGATTTTTGATTGGAATTGACATTACAACTCTGTCTTGGTAAACAATGTGCATATTATAAAAAGTGCAGATCAAAGGACAAAAGAAAATTAAGACATTAAAAAACCAGAAGAGAACAAATGGAATGCAAGCTGCATAACAGAATTAAAAACTTTAAATTGTTTGTGGATGGTTAATTTGCAGTAGAACTCTATTGATTTGCTTCCTTTTTCACTCATTCCCATGTAGGAGTGGTTTTTCTCATTTCTACTAGTCCTGTTTACATACCTAATTTCCTCCAATTTACATCAAGTTATTGACTCTCCTCAAATGTCTGCAATGGAACTGGGACATGTAGATCATTTTAATGATTCTAATTATGCTATTGCATTTGCACCTGATTCCAAAACTACCCGAGAGATAATGCACAAAGTGGCTTCAGCCCCATTCATGAAAGGTATGTTCTCTGGCAGTTCATGGCAATTTCCTCTTTTGCAAAATACAGGAATTCATTCTGGGATTTCCTTGACAAATTGTATTTAATGTTCAAGTTTTTAGAATTTATTAACAACAGTATTAGTTATATTATTTCCAGTATCAAGGAGGTTTACTTACTCTGTTCACTAATGTCCTATTTAGGAAATTCTATGTTAAAAGCGTTATCCTCATTATAGTACATATCAAAATGAGACAGTCTAGGGTTATTTAAATGTATGTTCGTGAGAAGATTCTGGAAAGATTGTATAGTAGTAATAGCACTGTTTTTTAATCTCTTTGAATGCATAAAAATTGAGAGAGAAACTAGACAGCGATACCAAAAACCTATTAGGCAATATTTACAACAAAACTAAATGGCAAGGTGTATCCTAGTACCCCAAAACACAAGTGGGTAGGAAAGAAGCCCTAAAAGCCACAACATCAGCATGGCATCTCTCTCTGGACGTGGTAAGAGGGCACTGGAAAGCAATGGGGGTGTCTGATGGGTCTGAGGAGGCCCCCCCTAAGAGTTAACAAGTATCCACCAGAAAGAGAGATGGCCAATTTGAAAACAGCAACTGGAGCAATTTTCAGTAATTATATGGGTCGTATAATATTAGAACGCTATTCTGAGGCTGTTATATGTGTCAAGTGGTAAAAACCAAATAAGTAAATATGGAATATTCTCGCACTCACCCCCGTGTCTTTGAAACCCAGGAGTCTCAATATGCAAGTGAGGAGAGGCAGAGGTCTGAAACGGGAAATGTACAGGTCTTGTCATTCTGGATAGCTAGGAAGCCACCAAGAACTGATAGGTTATGTCGAAAGGAATCCGCAGCAAACTTGGCAAAAGTTGCATTTCAACAAGTGCAATGACTTGAAACTCAGAAAATGGCTATTTAAGTCCATGCTTTTATGATGACATCAAAAGAAAAAATGTAACTGTTTACCTTTAGAGGATGATAGTAAATGAGTTCTTATTTTGAAAATTTGTAAATAAAGGGGAAATACTAACATGTATCCTATATGAACTGTGATATTGCTCAATCAAATAGATGATGCAAAATTACTATTTTGTAAATGTTTTCTACTAATAAATGAAAAAGAAATGATAGAAACTCCCATGAATTCATGGATCTACATGCTGAGGATAAATAACTTGCTAATATTACAAAAGATGTCTCAAAAAGAGAGAGAATCAGATTAGGAGCCAGTGATAAGACAACACACCACCACCTACGGTCTGGTAAAAATGACTGGACATGAGTCGGGTTTGGCCTCTGGATCCAGGTGCCGAGTGGAAGGAAATACAGAGAACAAAGGAACATGAATTGCAGGAGGAGTCTACACTCAACAAAATCCAGACTGTGCAAAATTATATCGGTTAAATGGCCCGGGTTTGATTGGTGACAGTCAGCCACTTATATTACATATTTTAGAATAAACAGAGCTTTTTTTTTTTTTCCTTTTTGTCATTTTACTTACCGGCAACGGGATCGCAACCCTCGGTGTTGCGCCCGCACTGCGCTCAGCCAGTGAGCGGGAACCGGTCTCCACATGGGATCCGAACCCTCGGCAGGAGCACCGCCACACTCCCAAGTGGCGCACTCTCCAGCGCACCACTGGGCCGGCCCATAAACAGAGCTTTTTAAAAAAATACTTATAAATACAAATTTAACAATTGTATGCTCTGTTTGTAAATTTGGCCACATTGACACCGCTGTTACATGGAAATATATACTATAGTTATAGCACATATCTCAACTTGAGATGGATCTGTCTGTACATTAATCTAAATGGATGAATTGGTATTGCTATTATTTCAAATTCATTGTGCTTTGAATTATTGGTTAAATAGTTTATCTGGAAAGGCATAATATATTTGTGATAAAAGTGCTTGCCACATAACACTTCTGATTTTATTTAGAACTTTAGAAGTCCCCCTACCCTACCTCTAAATGTGAGTCTTTTATTTAGGCCCAGCACTACCTTTAGGAAAGAAATAACCTCAACATAAAATAACTTTGACATAATTGAAAATGGTGTGCTGTCTTTGGGCCACGTAGAAATCTTCTTACTTAACCGTGATCTTTTTCACATGGCAGGAAGAACAATTATAGGGTGGCCTGATGAAAAAAGCATGAATGAATTGGATTTAAATTATTCAATAGATTCAGTGAGAGTCATCTTTAATGACACCTTCTCATATCATTTGAAGTTTTCTTGGGGACATAGAATCCCCAAGATAAAAGAACACAGAGATCATTCAGGTAACTTCACTAAAAAAAACTTTTTTTTTTTTTTTTTTTTTGCTATTGTGTCATCTGCCACACGGGGGTATTGTGATAGCAAAACTGAAATGAACTACACATCCTTACCCAACAAATACTTTAAATTTCTAAACATAAAAGAAATCCTTATTATAGTAAACCTATATTCTTAAGTACGTGTTTTATTAAGAAATTATATTTGCTATTATTTCTTTTTTTAACATTTGTACATATTCGAGTGTTGCTTCAATACAATACATGTATGTACTGCACAATGATTCACTTAGGGGTGATAACAAAGTTTTGTACACATATATTTGCTGTTAATTCTATGTTATTCTTAAATAAAACTTCGAGAAAAGGCTGTTTCTCAATGATTCCCAAATATTCTTAAAAAGCTTAGTGCTTTCTTGGCACAAGCGACCAAAGAGCAAAGCTCAACAAAAACATTCTCAACTAATAAAGAGAATTATTAGATTGAATGGAAAAGCATTGAGATCTGGTCTTAAAAATATTAACAGAATAAGTCTAGTGTATTTTCCTTGACTGCTCTACAAACCTCAACTACGTCTATGGTACCCTGTACTATCATGGACTTTAAGTACATTTTGGAACATTTGAACTTTTGATTTTTCTATAACCAAGATTGTCTCAAACCACAATAATGGGCATATTCTTCTTTTCCTGAAGCTCATTGTCAAGCAATTAATGGAAAAATCACATGTAAAAGTTCAACGTTCTGGGAGAAAGGCTTTGTAGCTTTTCAAGCTGCCATTAATGCTGCAATCATAGAAGTGAGTATTAAGTTAAAGGAATCTGCATTATAAATTAAATTTTGATAGGTGATGATAGAATGGATGGTCCTTGTCTACATTTGTTTACTTCATTAATTAGGCACAATATACTGAACAACTTCTATATTCGAATCATTGTGCTAAGTACTGGGGATCAGAAAATAACTAAGAACACAGGCACTTTTCTCCAGGGATACTGGTAATGTGGGAGATAGAAATATGTATATATAGTCATGATAAGAGTTTAGGTTCTACCATGGAATTTTAAATGTTGTCTTAGGCAAACGATGAAGCAGGAGACATATTCTGATGAGAAATATCAGGAAAGACCTATTAGCTGGACAGTGCAAGGACCAGTCACCTTGGTGTTGTAACACCACACTCTGAGCTAACCAGCCAGCCCCTGTGTTATCTTTTAGTTCTATCTTCCTGTAAACTTTTTGAAGTTCCCTTGCATATACAGTTTACCCTTGAACAACACAAAAGTTAAAGGCTCTGATGTCCCCACCCAGTAGGAAATTCACATATAACTTTTGACTCCTCCAAATCTTAAGTACTAGTAGCTTACGGTTAACTGGAAACCTTACCAATAATATAAACAGTTTATTAATGCATATTCTGTATGTTAAATGCATTTCTACTGTATTTTTACAATACAATAAGCCAGAGAAAAGAAAATGTTATTTAAAAATCATAAGGAAGAGAAAATTGTCACAAATCTCCAAAAAGATTTCCAATATATAACTCGTAAAAAATCCACGTGTAGGGCCGGCCCGGTGGTGCACTGGAGAGTGCGCCGCTTGGGAGTGCGAGCGGCGCTCCCACCGAGGGTTCGGATCCCATGTGGAGACCGGTTCCGCTCACTGGCTGAGCGTGGTGCGGGCGCAACACCAAGGGTTGCGATCCCATTGCCGGTCCCCGGTACGGGTGCGACACCGAGGGTTGCGATCCTGTTACCGGTCAGTAAAAAAGACAAAAAGGAAAAAAAAAAATCCACGTGTAAGTATGCCCACGCAGTTCAAACACATGTTGTTCAGGAGTCAACTGTATATTTAAATGTGCAATGTACATGATACCTTATAATTCAGAGAAAAGGCATGAGGTTATAAGTAGATTAATAATAATTCGTTCATCAATACCTTTCTTTAGATTACAACGAATCATTCAGTGATGGAAAAGCTGATGTCAGTTACTGGTATAAATATGAAGATACTACCTTTTGTTGCTCAAGGAGGAGTTACAACTGATTTTTTCATTTTCTTCTGCATTATTTCTTTTTCTGCATTCATATACAATGTATCAGTCAATGTTACACAAGAAAGGCAATGCATTAAGCCATTGATGACAATGATGGGACTTCAGGAGTCAGCATTCTGGTAAATCACATGCTACAATCTATTGTGCAGCATCAACAGAGCAACTTAGTTGGATGGACTCCTTAGCCCTAAAAAATGCCATGTTTAGACTTGCTGCTTTCATAAAGTAGTGCTTTATAAGAGAATGGAGTAGATGGATCTATAGGTATGGTCACTGAAACCTTCTGTACTTGTTTGACTTAAAGACAGCCTGATCCTGTAGACATGTGCCAGTACTTGGAGCACTAACAATACAGATGGTGACTGTCATTCACTAGTTACAATGTCTGGGTGACCCCAAATGTACAAGAAGTTGAGGTTCCTGATGTTCAGTGACATACATGTCTCAGACACTTCTGCATAGACTACGCACTTCAGGACAGAGAGGTTTTCTGATTTGTTAGCCACTGTATTCTCTTTAGCCTTGATAAATGGTTCACGAATCATTTGCTGAACAAGTGCACAAACGAAGCGATGAAGTAACAGCATTCTGAACTGATGTTTTGTTTCTGTTCTAGGCTTTCCTGGGGTTTGATGTACGCTGGTTTCGTCCTTATTATGGCCACTTTGATGGCTCTTATTGTAAAATCTTCCCAAGTTGTCATCGTAGCTGGTTTTGTGATGGTCTTCACCCTGTTTCTCCTCTACGGTCTGTCTTTGGTGAGTTGGTGAATTTAAACCCAATCTCTCTCTCTCTCTCTCTCTCTCTCTCTCTCTCTCTCTCTCTCTCTCTCTCACTCTCTCTAACTCTCTTTCCCTCTCTGTCTCTCCCTCTTTCCCTCCCTCCCGCCAATCATTTGTCACTGACTCTGGTCTCATCTCATGTTCTGCTTGCAGCATTTGCATGAGGCAGCATCTAGGGGTGGAATATTAATGAAATATACTTTTATAATATGAAATTCCTTTTATTATGCTACTGATGGTTCTCAGAGAATTACATACCAGTTGAAGTTTTTCTCTCCTCTCAGATACCTCTAGCTTTCCTGATGAGTGTGTTGATAAGGAAACCTTTCCTCACTGGCTTGGTTGTCTTTCTTCTTACTGTCTTTTGGGGGAGCCTGGGATTTGCAGCACTGTACAGACATCTTCCTGCATTTTTGGAATGGACTTTATGTCTTCTTAGCCCCTTTGCCTTCACTGCTGGAATGGCCCAGGTAAGAGTTAAGATAACTATTTCATTGTTATAAAAAAAAAAAACCATTCTAAAGAGATTCTCTCCTAATAATTCACACAACAGGTTCTGAGCATTAAAATTCCATCCCACTTTTGCAAAGATAAACACTTAAGAGATAGGGGAGGTTTTTATTTTTCTCTCTCAGCACAATTAGTTTCTCTTAAGTTACTGAACACAGAAAGATACTCCACTGTTGTGGTGGTTCAGCTTCTACTCTAATTGGTTGTCCCAGTGAACATTTGTCTGATTTAATGCTTAGGAAACATGACCCTTAATGTTATCACGAGCATTTGAAAACTGGGAATTTGGAATAAATAAATGTTTATTTTTAATTAGCTATTTCTACATGAAACAATCTCCTCTCTGAAAAGTTAAATTCTAGTTATGACATCAAAACTCTAAAATGCTATATGAAAGAGTATGTTGCATGTAACCTCATTTTATCTTGCTATAGTTTAGTAACATATTAGTAATCTGTCTTCTGCTCAACTACTGAAGTACTTTCACCTCTCCATCTTTTTATTCAGAAATGGAATACCATGTCTAGAATGTCCTAAGCCTGATAAAGTCTTACATTAGGTCCAGCTCAAATATCACCTTCCTTGAGTTTTTACCTCCTTTTAGGACACCTACATGCTGCTTCTTGTGGGTCCCTTAGTACTTAGTACCCATGTCCACTAACCTCCCAAATTATTTTGTAGTTAGGTAAGTTCATTGCTACGTCTTCCAGTAGATCTGAGCTCTGTAAACACAGGAATTATGCCTCATTTATCTTTGCAACCCCAGTGTCTAGCAGAAATAAGACAATTATGATTCTTAATGCTATATTAAACCTTTTAAAATTCAACATATCTGCCTTTTTTTTCCAGCTTATACATTTGGACTATGACATAAATTCTAATGACCATTTAAATTCTTCAAACAACCCACACCTCATAATAGCTACTCTTTTCATGTTGGTTTTTGATGCTGTTCTCTATTTGGTATTGACATTATATCTCAACAAAATTTTACCCAGTAAGTATTAGCATAATTATAATTAAACACAATTTCATTAATTGCATTTCTTTACAATAATTTTCTATAATGTAGTAAATATAAATTATCAAGCATTTTTTCAAAATTTCTAAAATAAGCTTAATGATATTTTGCACATTGTTTATAGACTCTCTTTGTAAGACTTTGCTCTACTGTAACACTTCAGGGTGTTTCTTGATCTAAATGAGCAAAAACGAATCAATTCCAACAGTGCTTTATGTAATTAATTGATAATAATCAAGAAGAATTTATTCCAGCAATAGAATTTATCACATTAACAGATTAAGGAAAATCATGTCATTATCTTAATTCATACAAACTAAAATTTGATAATATTAAGTATTCATAAATGTTAATAAGAAAGTTCTTCTCAATCTAGAAATAGGAGAGAATATACTTAACCTGATCAAAAGGTATCAAAAATTTGAAATATATAAAAGCAGCAATGCCTAATGATTTAGAAATGAATGCAAAATACCTTAATAAAACAGGTAATAAAGAGATTATCATTTTAAAAGGTGGAGCAACAACAGAATAATAATAATATGTAGATTTTTATCATATGAGAAAAACTCTGTGAATGAAATAAACTTGGAAAATAAAAATTTAAAGACAATATAATTGCTCTATCAATTTATTAAATATAACCAACTTTTGGTAGTAATTGGAACAGGGTTAGGATAAATTTAAAGTTCATGTATATAAGAAGAAAACACCAGGATGTTCAGTTACTCTAAAATGAGGTTATTTTGCATTTCTGACACATCTTTATTTTTTTTTTTTTTTTTTTTTTTTTTTTTTTTTTTTTTTTTTTTTTTAAATA